CCCCGCCGGGGTGATGGGCTTCCTGCTGCGGGCGCGGCTGCTCCCGGCTCCGGATGGCCCGGGAGGACAGCGGCACGCACCCACGAGCAAAGTTCATATCGCTCCCCTGCCCTGCGGGCTCCACCCTCCCACGGGTGGCACTGGTGGGGAAGAGGGCGGCTTTGGGCTCTGCGGGGTGGCCCAGGCTGCCCCCACTGTGTTTCCCTTCCCCGGGGGTGACAGCAGGCCCAGCGTGGGCCAGGCCCGTGGCATTCCCCGCAGCAATGCCTTGCCTTTGGGGGATATCAGTGGGTGCTCAGCGTGCTGGGGCAGGGGCTCTCCTGTACTGTGGGGCGGTGTCGGCAGGATTTCTGTCTAAAAGATGAAGGGATCAGTTCAGGCTTGTCCATCTGCCTTGTTTAAAGCACCCCGAGACCATGGATGAGGCTGTCGAGCAAGTCTGGAGGCTTCAGGCTCAGCTGCTGCTCCAGGGGTCCGGCGAGCACGGAAGGACCGGGATGCTGCAATCTGCTCCATCCGTTTGGCGGATGATTCACGGCGTTCTGTGTTTCCAAACACCAAACAGCTGCGGATCTCGGCAGCTCCTTCAGGACTGGCTGATAACCCTTTACAGGGCAGAGGAAAAGCTCTGCCGGGAGCACAGCCTGCACTTGACCGTGGCAGGCGCTATCTGCGGCCGCGGGCTCGTGTGGCCGGGGAGGGGCAGGGACACAGGGACAGCAGACAGAGCCGGGAGTGGCCCCATATACTGAGAAAGATGCGAATCCACCCACGAGACACGGGACAGGCGGCTCCCAGAGCCAGTATCTCCTGCCTGCAGGACACTGGTAACCTTCTGTTGCATAAGGAAGCAAAATTAAAAAGGAAAAAAGTACATCCTGCTTAAAAAAAAAAAAAAAGCATTATAAAGATTAGGCCTTTTACAAGGCCCAGATGTGGGGAAGCTCATGAGGAAAGTGGGGTCTGATCCAAACCCCTGCTGAGCCAAGCCCAGGGTTCCACCCGTGTTCCCCCATGAGTTGCCCCACGTGTCCCTGGGGTCTGGGGTCGAGCAGAGTGGCCCCCAGCCCGCTGCTGCTGCCAGGCAGGGCTGTGAGCCAGCGCTGGCTCCTGGCCCGGCCCCGCTGCCAGGCCTGAGCTGCCCGGGATGCTGGAGATGGGCTCTTTTTCCCAGAAGTGCGTGGGATGCAGGAGGCATTCGCAGGGATGAGTTAACTCCTCTGCTGCGGAGCAGATCCCGACATGCAGTGTCCCTGTGCCGGCCTAACAGGTTTCTGGCTTTAAAGGATTTTATGCTGGATACTTTGGCAGTGGCTGCAATTCCCCTGGGGACAGCCAACGCGGGGCAGGGCTGCGATTTTCCCTGGGTCCCTCCATCCTTAAATACGGCAGTAACATGGTGCATGTCCGTGACCAATCAAATCAACTCGCTGTGCCTCATTTCTTCATCAGCAGAGAGCAAACACAAACGCTGCCTTGCTTAAAGGAAATTAATACAGTTAATTAACACTCAGCCCTTCTAATATTCCAGATCCCGCTCTCCAGAGCCCTTCCACTGCAATATCATCATTACTGCGAAGCATAAGCAACAGTTAGACCAGATGTTTGCACACAGTTAATGCTTCTTCCATCTGGGGAGGGGGGAAAAGGCAGCGCATGGCTGCCGGGGCTCTGCCCATCCCTGGGGAGCCTCAGCCCGGCGCTTCCTGGGATGAGGCAGGGTTTGGGACACAGCTGCTGCACCAGCTGCTCCCGCTCGGCTCACAAAGGCTGGCTTCATTCACCCTCCCCTAATTCATGCAGGAGCTCATTCGGGGGGAGCAGCTCTGCCCCTCTCCCGGAGCCTGCGCTCACACTTCCCCAAGGCTTTCAGCGCCGGCGGCCCGAGAACGGGAGGCCCTGGAGACAAATAAAAGGCAAACGGCGGTGGGAGAAGGGCGGGCAGGGGCTTTCCTTGCATGTGGATGAGGGGAAGCAGATGAATCCTGTCTCCTGCACAGCTGCAGCCTCCCCCCAGCCCTGCTCCCAAGATGAGCTGTGTGGCAGGTGCTGCTCCCAGATAAATCCTGGCTGCAGGCCCCGCTCGCTCCTGCAGGGCCTCGGGAAGGCTGCTCAGACACCTTGTGCCACAACAGGGCTTCGATCGCGACAGGACAGCTCCCGAGTGTCCCAGAGCACATTTACTGTCCCAGAGCACATTTACTGTCCCTGTCACCGCAGCAGTTCCCACACGGAGTGCGCTGAGCTGTCACAGGGAATGTGCACAGGACATCCCTGGGGCTCCTGCCAGTGCTCCTGCTCCCAGTTCACTGATTTGCTCCCAGGATGGTGAGATGGCAGCGTGGCACAGTCTGCCTGTGCTGGGGACAGCCCAGAGCCCCCCCAGTTCTGCTGCCCTGACCCTACAGTCCCCTACCTCTGCCACCTGAGCCATCACTGTTGTTCTGTGCAAACCAAGGTGATTTTCTGGAAGCACAAACTGAGTGTCTAAAGCTGGCCTGTGGCAGAAGGGAGCAGCCCTGCTTTAGGTGGCTCCTCTCAGATCCCAGTCCCAAAAGCCAGGCAGTGCCTGTTCCCTTGCATCTTTTACAGAGGATGACACAGCCCTTCTCCTCGCAGGACACCAGGTCAGCTCCTCTTTTGGATGCTGGGCACAAGAGACTCAGCAGTGCAATCTCCTCCTCTCCTGTGGTGGCATCTGTCTCTAAAGCTCACATCATGCAGTGTCTCTCAGTGGAAGTGAGGGCACAGAGCCCGCTCCCCTCCTGCTCTGCTCCTCACACCCAGCCAGGGCAGCCTGCTCTCATCCTCTGAGCTAAAGCACCACAAACACTAAAAGCCACTCCATTCCACAAGGCTCTTCCATTTCCTTCACTCAAACCCCATGGAAGAATGGAGAGGCTGAAGTGTTTCTGGGGAGCCTGGGGGGGTTACCCAGGGGTGATTTGGGAATATGCCAGGCTCTACCTCTCCTTAGTGTCTCCAGCCATTCCAGGTTCACTTCCCAGCACTCAGAGCATGGTCACTGGCACTGAGAACCCAAAACGTAGCACAAGTGTTGGAATACTTTTGCTTTTGTCAGAATAAAACCTACAGGTCACCCAGAGCTTCACCTGGAGCAGAACAAGAGCTCAGAGTATGACACTCTGTGAGGAGAAAGAAAAAAACCACTTGAAGGTAGGACTGGCATCAGGTTGGAGCCTACAACACATTCCCTCTCAACTTTTAGCTTGGAAGAGGCAGCAAAACCATCCATATGCATCCTTATTTTCTCTATTTGTTATGTTAAAAAAAATAAAACAAAACAAAAAAACCCAGGGTGTCAGCCATCCCAATCTGTTTCTGCAGCTGACATCCTTACCCCTGCAGGAATTAAATCTGATGGTGGGGTCAAACAGCACTGGCTGTTGTTCCCAAGCTGGTAACACCAGAGCCCAAACCATGCCAGAACTGCATCTTGTGCATGGCTTCTCTACATCCAGAACTACAGACATGCAATAATCAAGCACTGCTTTGTAGATTTTAGCCTAAAAATGACGACAGTAAAAAAAGACAAAAAATTAGGATTTTTATTTTTAGAAAAAGCACAGTATTGTAATAGTCAAAGAGTGATTATACAGAAATAACAACCACAAGAAGGCAATTCATTATGGACAGAGCCATGTCAACAACCCACTGCCTCCTCTTTTTATTGTTTTAAACCCAAAACCCAAGATATTTCTACAAGCATTCTGATCAGTGTCACATAAGTTACCTGAGTTTATGTTCTTTATTCTATGCTGTCAGAAAATCTGGGCCTGGATTACACAGCAATTATGAATACAAAATATATATATATAAAAGCAGAGGTAATCATACCTGCATTATAGAGATTTTAGTTTGTTTTTCTCCCTCCTCATCACCAAATACATGGAAGTTCTTCTAAGTAAAGAAAAAAGTTACCTCCTCCACCAATCTGGTAGGAACACACAGGTTGAAAACTCAAGATTAACACCCCAGAAATATTAACAGTGGCAGACAGACATGACACCTTATTTTCCCTCCTCCCTTATCTGCTGGGTTTCAAAAGCAACATCAGAAAACACATTCTGCTTCAGGCTGGCATGAGCCAGGGAGACAAACACAAGCTGACAAATAGGGAGCAGTGCACAGCTCAGGGTATTAACCAAAGGTCACCTTTGTGCTGATGCAGGGAAAATGAGTTGGAATCCCAGCAGTTTCTCCTGGGTGAGGGATCTGCACAGGGTTCTGGTGGCTCCAGTAGCACCAGTCAGCCACAGCAGCTCCCAGCTGGCAGCAGAGCTCACTCTGCACAGAGAGACTCTGCTTTGGGTCTCTCTCAGCAGCCAGGGATCGTCTCTGCCCTTCCACCCACACCCAGCTCGGTGTAAAGTAGAGCTTGACCTACTCTAGCAGGGCAGGAAAGTCTCATAGCACCAATATCAAAGCTTCTTTGCAGCCTCTCCACCCTGGCACAGGGTGCCTAGAGCAGCTGTGGCTGCTCCATCCCTGCAAGTGTCCAAGGCCAGGCTGGACATTGGGGCTTGGAGCCTTCTGGGGTAGTAGAAGGCTTCTCTGCCCTTGGCAGGAGTGGGATGGTTTTTAAGGTCCCATCCAGCCTAAACCATCCCCCAGTTCTATGATAAATGCCCTGAACAGGGCCAGTTCTCTGCTTATTGCACAGCCACAGGGATGGTGACCAGGACAAATCCCATTACAGACACAGGGTCACACCTTCAGCAGCCCCAGCCTCCTCGAGCCCTTCTCTGCAGCACTGAATGGCCAAACACGGGTTCTGCTTTCAGAAATATCCTCTCCTTCACTGCCAGCATCAAACACAGCCCAGAAAACCTTCCCTAACCCAAATGTCAGGCAGCTGTCTCATTTTCACCTTTGTTAAATAATGCAATTGTCCCGGAAAGGGTTCTCCAGCCATCCCCAGAGCCAGCCCCAGCACACAAGCTGTCCTCCAAAGGGAAGGGAAGCACAGTGGGTATGCCAGGGCAGCAGGCAGCAGCAGTAAATAACCCTGAGCCTGCTTTGTTCCTTCATAAAATAAATGATTAATAGCCCAGGATAGTCAGTCTGCTTGAAAAGCTCAGGATGGCTGAAAACTTTTGATCAGTTTGATTCATTAACCTTTAAAACTGCCTCTAAGAGAAGCTTAAAAATCTGAGGGAGAAGCATCATTTTAAAACACCTCAATTTTACCCAGTCCTCCTCACTTTTGACAAACTGAGCCAAGATTGAGACACTCTGCTCCTCCTTAGAGACACTCAGCATCAGTCAGGTGTCAAGGAAGAAATAACATGGGAAAATAAAGTTGCTGTAGGCAAACAACCCCATGCTCATCTTAAAATTCAGAACCAGTCGGGGCTGGGGGGAGAAAATGGCCCTTCTTTGTGATCCTTAAACACTTGGCCATACGCAGGTGGCTTCCCAACTGCCTCTTTATTTCTTTTGCTTTTAATGCTAATAAAAAGGGAACCCAAACAGGCCACTCCATTCCCCACACAATGCCCTGGGGGAGGGCAGGGAGTGTCACTTACATATCCCAAAAGTCTGGCTCAGACAAATTACTTCTAGTTCACTTCCCTACTACACGCCTGCATTGTTCCAACACCTTTGGTGGCAGAAGGGGCTCATCCCCAGCTATCTGGTCCCAGGGACAGCCATGGGGGCTGATGTCATTAAGGAGCTGTCCCAATTACTTCCCTGGGGAAAGCAGTGACTTGCAGCTTAACGTGCTGCCCCAGCACAGCGGGAAAACCAACGGTCAGCAAAGCCCTGAAGGCTGTGCTCCCGGGAGGAGCTGGGCTTCCAGGGATGGCAGCTGCCTCCTGCAGCTCCACTACAGATGGTTGGAAGCTCAGGCACTGTTTCCTTAGAAAGGGAGAGATTCCCAAGAGAAAAAGGGCATTTTCAACCAAGGAGAAGTCATGGTCATTGGTGCCAGGCTGATTCCTGTTTTTTTTGGCTGGGATTTATTTTCTAGAGGACAGAGAGCAGTGTGGAATGGTCATGAAAGGTCCCTTGTCCTTCTCATGGACACTGAGGTGCTTCAGCAGCAGCCACAGTGCTACAATTCCCAGCAGAGCAAGATTATTCCACCTCTAAGGGAACCACAAGCTTTTCACAGAGAAAGAAATACCAGCTACAAATTTAACAGATCAAAACCTCCTCAGAGACACCCAGCTCACAGAACCAGCCCACAGCTTCTTTTGCTGCAATAATTACACATGGTCAAGGATTTGTGAGTTTAATAGTTTTAGGGAGCAATTCCCAAGCCACAGCTGTCAGCTTTCTGAAATCCCATCAAAGCTTGCAGGAATTCAGCAATTTTAGCAGAATACCAATGCTCTTATTTGGAACAATATTGAGGTTCCAACAGAAAAATTGTGATGCTTCAAATACCCAGCAGTGGTGGAAATAAAGATGTTTATAAAGGAATCAGATCTCACCTGTAGCTTCAGGTTTTTTGTATTGAATCTTTATGCTTCTCTATACAGAGAAAGATATTGAACCAAAAGAAAGAAACCAAATTCCTAATTTTACAGCTTTCATGGGCTCTGATGGATGTCCCAATTCCATTATTCAGTCCAGACCGTAACCAGTTAATTACGAGTTAGCAATGAAGTTAGAAGTTAAAGGGATCATTGAGAGTTATTATGACAAAGAAGTATCTTGGTTTTTGGCCACCACGTACATCATGGATTTGCATGGATAAAGAAAAGTGGAAAAATAAAGAGCAAAGCAGCACTCTGAATATGAGCAACAGTAATAAAGGAGTTTAGGAGGACAAGGAAAAATGACTTAAGAAGAACATGAGAACTTTTTTCTACTCAGAAGCTCCCTGAAGTTAAATGTACCATTTCAGCTGTACCATTGAATAGGAGAAACTGCCAGAGCCTGGAGGGTAAAGAGTTCAAAAGATGATGAAGAGAACATCAGCAGGATTATGAAATGACATGGGCAGGTCAGGAAAAAGCAGGTGGATGGATACAGGGAAAGTGAACCAAATAGTCCCAACTGAGCCATGATTCTCTTGGAAATATCAACACATCAAACCAGAGTGGCAGGAATTATTTCAATGCACATCATTGAGTGAACTGTACAGTGTTATATGGCAGGTGAATGCCTTGAACTATTAGGAGTTTGAATTTATTAATTGATTAATTAAATCCCTTTTTGTGCTTTCTCAGCTATCTAGTCAATCTTCTGCCACAGCCCAGGGTGTGCTGCCCTATCCTGGGGCTCAGCAGAGTGTTTTTGAGAGGAAGATAATTAATAAATGAATTCATGGTCTCAGCCTGGCTCAGTAACGAGCCTGCACAAACTACAGGTACAAAATCAGATTCAAATCTGGGTACAGCCAACAAGTGCCACTGCTTTGGAGGGCAGATTCTGGACCTCAGAGAAACCCTTGTCATGCTCCACCAAAATAAAAGTGCTTGGTAAATGTTGCTCCCCTGGACACACAAAGTCCCCAGCCTGGTTATAGAGGAGCCCAAGTTGTGTAACTGTTTTTTGGTATTTAGTTCAAGCAGCTTTTAAAAGCTTTACAAACAAGTTAAAAATAATTACAGGGTATTCATTAGTGCAGAGGCACAGATTCAGCCCAAGTGCAGAAAAGAAACCAAGCAAAAATAGTCTTTCCAAGCCTGATTTACCAGGCTTCTACAAGAGAATCCAAACAGTTCTATTCTCACCCACTTTATTGTCTCCCTGAGGGAAAACTGCAGAGGAACTCTCCCAAGGAGCTGTCCTTGTAATAGTTTAAACAGGATTTCCAGCCATCCACAGCAATGAAGAAATGATGGCCCTGCTTTCAGAGCTCAGCAGGTCCCCCACTCCCTTCACCCTCAATCACACCACGGTGAGCTTAGCAGCACAAAAAAACCCACTTGTAAACATTCAGATGAGTCCTAGAACATGTTTTCATACTCTCCACTTAGTGTCAGGCTGTCATTTTATAAATATATTTAGTTTTTAAAGAACAAACCCCAAACCCCAACACTTGTAGGGAAAATAAGGCCTCTTAAAAAAGACTCCACCAAGTTTCTGTGAGGCGTGTGCCTGCTCTAAAAGGAGCCAAAAGACTGATCACAACATTCTGGTCAGGACACAAGAGCCAACTCTGCTTGACAGACATTAACTTAAAAAAATCACAGGTCAAGAGCAACAGAATAACCTTTTCCCTCAGCTGCTGGGTGCTCCCATCCCATTCTGAACTGTTTTAGAGTGAAACACCTACTTGCTGTCTGTCCTTTTGTTGTAAATGAGGAAGTCAGACAGGTCGTGCCACACATCACTGTCCTCATACAGGTAGGTCATGGAGGACTGCAGGGAGGGCTGCAGAGTCTCCCTGTGGTATTCAAAGAGCCACAGGACTGTCCCCCACACCAGGGCAGCCACGAGAGGGAAGGGATCCTGCTTGGGCTGTGGGATGTAGCCCTTTTCCACAGCCAGCCGAGACAAACCGAACAGGATCCGGGACAGCAGGTACATGATGATCTGCAGGAGGAGAAACCCAGAGAGCAGGGGTGAGTACTGAGCACAGCCAGCTCCAGGGATTCAGAAGTGACAATCCAGCCAGGAAGGGTGGGAACAATTCCCCCATTTCAAAGCAAACAGGCTGTAATTTCTTGTTTAAGCAGTCTGCAAAGGCACGGGTATTTGTGTCCCCTCAAAGTCCTGCTGCTCTGATTTAGCAACCACCAGGCTGCACTTCATGCAACACTCCTGAGCAATTGCACAACTTCTGTCTTTGCCCAGCTCATGCCACCTCAGGTGGTGCTGGTGGAACAGACCCAGAGGTGTGAGCTCAGGAGCCTGGACACAGCCTAACACCAGCCTGAAGGCCCAGCTTAAGCCGAGCACTTTGGATTAATCTGCAGCTCTGTGTTTTACTCCTTGGTTTGTGACTGTGTGTTAAGAACCAGCTTTAAATCAAACACCCCCTGAGCAGCTTTCCTCAGTTTAACCAGTTTAATTGTCAGTTTAGCCAGTTTAGTCCAGCACAGATCTAAATAATCACAGCCTACACTCAGAAGACTTCAGGTAAAGAGTTTAACCCTGTGATGGCCAGACCAGGAACACACAGGGAGTGACAACAGCTCAGGAGATAGGTGGGATAACCCCACAGCTTTGGATCACCTGACTGCTTTCCCAAGGACTCAGCACATCTCTGGAGGCAAACCTGGCCTTCCAGCACTCCAACTGCCCACACTGCTCATGGAGACACACAACCACAGCTGGGACGTGGGTGCAGAGCAGTGAAAACAGCAATTTGTGCAGAGAATATGATAAGAGAGCAATGCTTTGTGGTCAGAACCACAAGAAACAGGCACCACCAACCTGGCACACCTGTTTTCCTGCCCAAAGAAACCTTCAGCAAATGCCTTTACCTGGCTGTTGATGGGATTGTTGTCACCAAACACCAGCCAGCCCCCAATGCAGGCTGCAAGGAAAGAATGAAAGGGGATTTTTTTCCCCTGCAGCCCAGACTGTGCTGCCAGGAGCCCCTTGTAGGTGAACACAAAATAGGCCAGGTTCCGGGAATGAGCGTATGTAGCCTGGGCAATGGATTTCAGCTTCTCCCTTAAGCTGAGGGAAAGAAACAGACAATCAGGAGAGCGAAAAAGCACTCACTCAGCCTGGTCACTGCACCCCTGACCTACCCTGATGGCTTGGGCATCCCAGGAATGTCTTAGGAAGGAGGAGAAATCCTCTCAGCTCAGGCTCACCCACCAGAGTACAGACTGTGGACTGTGTTTCATTTTCTCACTACTCAAACAGCCCTTTTAAAACTATTTTTTTTTTTTTTTTTTTTTGCTAAATGCAAACCTCTGGCACTAAGGGAAAGGCACTGCTATAGCCTGAGCTCCCATATTTCAACACAGGACAGAACATTGCTGTTGGCATCTGCTGATTCCCCCTCTGTCCTCTGGTTTGCATCAACCACTCCATGAGTGATTAACTCCCTCAATTATATACATTTGTGTCTGCTTCACTATCAGGACAAGGCTCAACTTTTTAAACTCTCTGGAAACGTGAAAAACAGACAGCTGTGATGAAAACATTCTAAGCAGCACCACAGAAATGCAGAATTAGGGTTCATACCTTCCACTCTTGAACAGGAAAGTCATCACCAGGGCATGCGGGGCACGGATTTTGGCTCCATAACTGTAAAGGTGGGTAGACATTTTATAGAGTTTGTATTACACCATGAAATTATTACATTTCTATCCTAACAACCGAAAAAGGTTATTTAGCCAAATATCTACTACTTTTAACACTGCTCAACAGCAGCAGCACAACAAACCGGGAGGAGCCCAGCCGGAGGGTGAAGAGCACACGCACCTCAGCGAGCCAGGCCCGAAGGGGACCCGAACCCCAGCTCAGACCACCCCAACTGCAGCTGAGGGAGGCGGAGTCGCCTTCCCCGCACCCCCGCCACAGCATCCCCGGCCTCCCCACCGAGCGGGCGCGGCACTCACACGGCGCCATTGCGGAATCCCTTGATGACGGCGAGCGCGGCGTGGTAGCGGCGCTGCTGCAGGAGCGCGTTGGCGGCGCGGAGCAAAGCGCGAACCGAATCCCCACTGCCCGCCATGGCCC